TTTTTTTTTTAATTTTGGACAGTAGGTAGAATTTTGGAGTGGTTAGAACACCTGTCAGGTTTTTATTGCTGTCCGTGCCCCCGTTAGGAAGACCCACCCTCTCTATTTGCCCTGTTTACCATTATCATCTTACATGAAAGTAAAACCCACAGGAACAGGTAGAATAGGAACACAAGTTCTGGTGACAACTAGGGGTCCCATCACTTAAGGCCTCATTCACACCAGTGCAATGTGATTTTGATCAATTTTATGCCTTGGGTGCTGGTGAAGAACAACTGCTGCTGCTACTACTACTTCTTTTTTGAGGGACCAAGGATTTTCCTGGGAACCAAGCTGAGGATTAAAAAATTGTTGCTTTCAAAATTGCATCAGAATCCTATATACATGCGTTTTCTCTGCATTTCCATTGAAGTCTATGGGGCCAGCAATCACCCTGAAACTGAATTAAAGTAGTACAGGACCCTTTTCCAAAATCACTCCATGCTGAGTCACATTGATGTGAACAGGCACCATTGAAAACTATGCGATTTCCATTCACTTGCAATTCTGTTGGACTCCAGTCGCATTAGAAATCCCACTAGTGTGAGCCAGGCCTTAGAGGGATTTCCTCTCACTTCTTGTTTGCTTGTAAGACAAGAAGCAAAGGGAAATCTCCCTAATTGGACACTGACAGAGAGTATAACACTCCCTTACTCTATCCAAATGATAAAAAAAAAAACAGTTTTGCCTTTTAGTTTCACCTTAATACTTGGGGTAGTGAAACGCTCAAGGAATAGACACTCCAATAAAAGTTATTTTTAAGGTGCCATACATAGGTAAAAATGATACAAGATATGTATAACACATACTAAATACTTTTATTTAGACACATTGTCTACCTGGGACCCTGGCATACTAGTGGACTGTGATGGTCTTTCTTGGTTGTTAGCCTGGCACGACCTCTGTCTCCTCTTTGGGTGGTCCAATGCCTCTGACACAGCCCCTGGCCGTTTCTGGTTCTGGGGTTAGGTTGGTTTGCTTTTGTTGTAGGTTGCCTAAAGGTGCCTTGGGGTTTTACATGCTCAGTAGTTGTATAAATGGTGACATATCCACGTTGCCCCGAAGAAGTATCATTTTCACCTGCGGAACGCGTTGGACTTGGAGATGACTGTAGCCCCTGCCACAGGTGTTTACCTTGATTTTAACAGGGTGCACTTCTCAGAGGGCTAGAAAACCTTTTATGTGCTAGCAGCTCACAAGCAATAGGATGAAGCTACAGAAAGTAAACCTATACTTCTCTATTAACACACTTCTTGTCCTAGAGTGAAACTGTACTGAGCAGTACTGACACCCTCGGACAGTGATGGCTAACCTTTTAGAGACCGAGGTGCCAAACTGCAGTCCAAACTCCATGTATTTATTGTAAAGTGTCAACACTGCAATTAAACCTGAATTTGCTGACCACCAGTGCAAGGGGGCAATGTTCCGTTTACCACCAGCGCAATTGGGGCAAAGTTCACCCCCTGGCCGGCAGCGCAAGGGGGCAAAGTTCCCCTGGCCGGCAGCGCAAGGGGGCAAAGTTCCCCTGGCCGGCAGCGCAAGCAGGGGCAAAGTTCCCCTGGCCGGCAGCGCAAGGGGGCAAAGTTCCCCTGGCCGGCAGCGCAAGGGGGCAAAGTTCCCCTGGCCGGCAGCGCAAGGGGGCAAAGTTCCCCTGGCCGGCAGCGCAAGGGGGCAAAGTTCCCCTGGCCGGCAGCGCAAGGGGGCAGCGCAAGGGGGCATAAGTTCCCCTGAATACTAGCGCAAAGGGGGCAAAGTTCCACTGAGCACAAGCTAACATATTGTGTTAATAAAAAGGAATGAAAACTGGCTCACAGCCAGTCCAATATATAAATCGTGGCAGCGCACTGACCGGCCATGCAAAAAACATCATCGCCAGGCCCCGCTACTCCTTTCTGAGCATGCGCATGGCCCCTATGTGCGCTGTTATCCGATGCTCGGCTGCTGAGGTGATGCTGGGGCTGCCTGGCTTGCGTGCCAACAGAGAGGGCTCTGCGTGCCCGCTGCGGCATGCGTGCCATAGGTTCGCCACCACTGCCCTAGGACAGGGATTGTGTTAGAACTACAAAACACCTCCCTGTCTTCTCCATAACAGAGAGAGATGTTTTGTAGTCCATGGAGATAGCAGGGAACAATGCTAACTGACAATAGTCCAGAGGCAGAGAGTAAGGGAAGTTATCAGCTCATAAGATGTCTGGGTGGATGAAGAGCAATTTTCTTTTTTGTACTCAAACAGATATAATAGATGGTATATTTAACAGAGCAAAAGGGACCAAAAAAAATATTGTTACAGGTTACATACACTCCTCTAATGCAAATATTACAGTGATACTTGTATAATAATAGAGCACATAGCAATAGAAAAGTGATCCAATTGCCAGCCACATACTTTCCTGGCATCTAAGAAACCAGGTGCAGTGTATATATAGAAATCTATGCAAACGGTGCTCCGACAGAGCACACTAAGCTGGCCATTTGCCATTCTTCGGTGCAATCTCACTGCCCATATATTAAAGGAAACCTGTGCTGAGAAATCTGGAGGTTGCTGATCTGTTTTTTGTAATACATGTCGCCTGGCTGTTCTATTGAACCAGTACTAGCACAGTCTCTAAATTTCTTCTGACTTTGTAATTTTCCTTTGATTTGTAAATTTCCATTGACTTTGTAAGATGCATGCTTGTCAGTATCTGAAAGTATTGAGGTCAGGGACAAATTGGAAACTAGTATTTTTAGAAGGAGTCTAGCAACCTCACATTTGTCTATACATAGGTTTTCTTTAAAGCTGAAGTTTATTCTGCTTATTTTTTGCCTTCAACGATTCTTTCTTTTAAACCTTCAACAACATGCTAAGAAAATTGTGAAATGAAACCTTTCTATTTCCATTAAATACTTTGTTTTAGACCCATTTGCATCATCCTTAGGTCTTTGTGCTTTGTGCAATGCAGGCAAATCATGGGTAGTGAGAGGGGCCGGCAGGGTGCTGTACATAGTATACCGAAAACAGCTTTGACAATGCCCACATATGATGCTGAGCCTCCATGATTGAAAGAACTGATATCCAATCAATGTAAGGGTGGGCCAGAGACAGTAGGGCTAGGGAGGTATGTCTAGATGATATCGGATGTCCTCCAGCCAGAAGATGAAACAGATTTTGACTTCTAATGCACACTGTGAGAAGCTTACAGTTTGCAGTGAAATCAGAGTAAGCAATCTAAATATAGGATAGTAGCCTATATAAATGTGAAAGACATAAGGGAACGCTGGAGTTCAGCATCAATACATATACAGTTCATGAACAATACAATACAGTGCATGAACCCCAAAGACAATATGATTTACACCCTTAAAAGAGCTGTGTAATCATTGGCCACAAGCCTTCGGTGTCATTTTAAATGGTTGCTGACCTCATACTGTAGTTTTACTGCTACAGTGAGGGCTGGCTGTGCAGAATCAATATATACGTGATTGTTTATTTCTGGGTAGGGGGTACGCGTGCTTCCGCCCACTCGGCTGCACTCTCACTGGCTCTCTTAGATGCCAATCGGTGGAGCAGATGACAGGAGCGAAATCTGTTTTGGTAAACAAACTGACAGTGGTGATGTGACAGTTTGTCTCCCTGTAAAGCAGGAAATAAAAACTGTCCTATCCCCCTAGTAAAAACAGCACACAGATGACAGTAACACTTGCTCGTCACACAGTTAACCCTTTGATTGCTGCAGATGTTAATTCCCCCCTGCCCACCCAGTGTCATTAGTACAGTACAGTGCATATTATTAGCACTGAGCTCTGTTTTAGTGTGATGTCAGTTAGTTCCAACACAGTGTCAGATTGCCCGCCACACTATCACAGTCCTACTATAATTTGCTGATTGCTGCCATTACTAGTATAAAAAAAAAAATAAACAAAAAATCCAGCATATATACTGTCATTTGTAGATCCTATGACTTTCACACAAACCGATTAATATACACCCATTGGGATGTTATTTTTACCAAAGACATGTAGCAGAATACATTTTGGCCTAATATTTGATTTTTTTTTTTTTATTGGATATGTTTTATAGCAATAAGTAAAAAAAAAAGAAAACATTTTTTTTCAAAATTGTTTGTCTTTTTTCACTTATGCCGCCAAAAAATAAAAACCCTAGTGGTGATCGAATATCACCAAAAGAAAGCTCTATTTGTGTGGAAAAAAATTAATTTGTGTACAGTGTTGCATGACCAAGCAAATGTCAGTTAAAGGAGTGCAGTGCCGTATCGCAAAAAAATGGCCTGGTCATGTAGGGGGGCAAACTCTTCCAAAGGTCAGGTGGGTAAAATAAAAAAATCCATGATGCAAGGAATGATAAGGTATGTCACATGACACTGCCAACAAGGGAAGGACAAATGGATGTGACATGTGGACTTGGATAGTTAAAGATTTTTATTTTTTTTTTACATATGCCACAATGAATGTTATTTCTGCTTCCTAAGTGAGGTCAGCAAGTCTGGTGATTTTGTACTGCTGCATGACTTTACATTTTCAGTGAATTATCTGGGAACGTCTGTACTTAACGGAAGTGAAGACATGAAAAATTGTGTCCTGCTTAAAACAAATAAGTTCTGCCGAGCACTTTGCAGGACTTTGATCTGAGGCATGACAGGTGTCCGACGCAGCTCACCCTTTACATTCCCTCATTGGAGGTTCATACACTCCTCTAATATGTAAGGTTTGAAAGTTTATCAGCACGGCCACAATCTAAAACAAAATTGTTCATTATATTCCTCTGTATGACATGTTTCAGCTACCTAACAGCCCCAGTAAATCACACGTCACCTTTATGGTACCACTTCCTGCCAATTAAACATACTCCAATGTAGTAACTAAGGGCCCTTTCACACAGCGTTCAGTCTGGATCCTTACATCGGTTTTTCATATGAACCAGATCGAAGCACCGCATATGCCTATGAGCAGGTGGTTGTAAGCATACACTATATTGTCATATGTATTGGGACACCCCTCCAAATAATTGGATTCAGGTGTTCCAATCACCTCCATGGCCACAGGTGTATAAAATCAAGCACCTAGGCATGCAGACTACTTCTACAAACATTTGTGAAAGAATGGGTCGTGCTCAGGAGCTCAGTGAATTCAAGTTTGCAGTAAGTCCATCTGAAATTTCCTTGCTACTAAATATTCCGCAGTCAGCAATTAGAGGTATTATAACAAAGTGGAAGCAACTGGGAACAACAACAACTCAGCTATGAAGTGGTAGGCCATGTAAAATGACAGAGCGGGGTCAGCGCATGGTGAAGCACACAGTGCACAGAAGTCGCCAACTGTGTGCAGTCAGTAGCTAAAGACCTCCAAACTTCGTGTGGCCTTCAGATTAGCACACCAACATTGCGTAGAGAGCTTCATGGAATGGGTTTCCATGGCCAAGTAGCTGCATCCAAGCCTTACATCACCAAGTGCAATGCAAAGCGTCAGATGCAGTGGTGTAAAGTATGCCGCCACTGGAGTCTAGAGCATTGGAGACATGTTCTCTGGAGTAATGAATCACGCTTCTCTCTCTGGCAATCCGATGGATGTGTCTGGGTTTGGCGGTTGCCAGGAGAACAGTACTTGCCTGACTGCATTGCACCAAGTGTAAAGTTTGGTGGAGGGGTGTTATGGTGTGGGGTTGTTTTTCAGGGGTTGGGCTTGGCCCCTTAGTTCCAGTGAAGGGAATTAAGGCATCAGCATACCAAGACATTTTGGACAATTTCATGCTCTCAATTTTGTGAGAACAGTTTGGGGATGGCCAGTCCTGTTCCAACATGACTGCGCACCAGAGCACAAAGCAAGGTCCATAAAAACATGGATGAGCGGGTTTGGGGTGGAGGAACTTGACTGGCCTGCACAGAGTCCTGACCTCAACCCAATACAACACCTTTGGGGTGAATTACAGCGGAGACTGCAAGCCAGGCCTTCTCGTCTGACATCACTGCTTGACCTCACAATTGCGCTTTTGGAAGAATGGTCAAACACTCCCATAGACACACTCCTAAACCTTGTGGACAGCCTTCCCAGAAGAGTTGAAGCTGTTATAGCTGCAAAGGGTGAGCCAACTCAATATTGAACCCTACAGACTAAGACTGGGATACCAATAAAGTTCATGTGCATGTAAATGCAGGAGTCCCAGTACTTTTGGCAATATAGTGTATGTATGTCCATTTACATCTGCTTAAATCTGAGACTATTGGTCCACAAAAAACAGACGGGAAAGGTTTTTGTCCTATTCCATTTTTGCAAACCTAAACGGTTGTAAACAGATCTTATTCATTCCCTTTTACATTTTTTTTTTTTTTTTTTTTTTTTTTTTAGACAAACATATTTTTTGATTATACATTTGTCCATCTATGACTATTTTCTTCAACAACTAAAATATACATGGACACATACTAATGTATCCTGAACTGAAGACAGATGTAAAACTGATGTACATGGATTAAGTTTTAGGGGGGTAGACACTACCCACAGAGAAAAACAGAACGTGATTGCTGGGGAACGGTGACTTGCATTTTTACAACATAATATACTGTTTCCCTTTTTCTTTGTTTGTAAACTTTAATGGAATGTCACATTCATTCATTTTTATGCAAGACTGCTCATCTACCGTGCATAGAGATGCAGGGTCTCACACATGGCTGTGGAGTGGTGCGAAAAAATGCAACATCTTTTGGACACCAGTGGTTTCTGTGTGCCTTTCAGAGAGGTGTGTTTTTCTTCTACAGCTTTCTGCTATCATGTGAACCTTCCCTTAATGCATTTTATTACATCAGTTTTTTGTGGTGGAACTTGTGTGAAGGGACCGTAACAGACAACCAGGAGTGGGAATCAAAGTATCCCTAATTAACTCTCTAAACATTGCCACAAAATTAGCATGTTAAAACATGAAATAAAAAAAAAAATCGCAGAACACTTCTCTCACTACATAATTACAAAGCACATGATTTCAAATATATATAAAAAAGAATAAAAATATATAAACTATGTTAAACAATGAACACGAGTAAACTCCAGTAAAGAGGTGGCACCTCGTATTCTCAGGTGGTCTCCCATCCAGGTAACTAACCAGGTCTGAGCCTGCTAAGCTTGTAAGATCAGACACCATCAGAGTAGTATGTCAGGATCTGAGGTATAGTACTAGTCTTTTACTTTTGTTTTCTGGGCTGTTTTTCTTTCACAGATGCTTATCTGTCCCATGACTTGTGTTTTTGGAAGATATTTTTCAGTGTTATGACTCCACATCCAGTACCTTTAGGGCCTCCACTTTCACATAGGCAGTGCTAATGCGAGTGACACTGAAGTGGAAATTAACTCAAAAAGTGAGATTGACCATACTGTATGGTAATATTAGAAATGTTAATTGTGTGTCTAAGCAGTGCACTGAACATTTTACCTTTTTCATGTGGAATACCTCCTGAAATGTAGCAGTGCACTTCTGTGAGGGTGCCTAGGAACTCCTGCGCCTTTTCTGAAAGTCCACTTATCTTTTAGATTAAAACTGCCCTGTCACAAATCATTTTCAAAACTGGGAAACCAACGCTGCCGTGTGCGGCGACCTGTGTGAATCTGCACAAATCAATGCAGGCAGATAATCTTACCTTTTGATCTGAACAATACAGTGACTGAGCCCAAACCTAGATCTGTTTGGAATAGTTGGGCCCCAAAAATGAATAAATAGCAATGAGCACAGGATAATATGAGTTATCCTTTGACTGGATATATAGTATTGAGGTTAAAGTGGTTCTAAAGGCTGAAATTTTTTTTATGCAAGGGTAGAGCTGTGCTCTGTGTGTCTTATAGGCGGCAGTGGAGTGAGCACGCTTGAGTGCCCCCAGAACAAGCAGCTTGCTATGGGGGCACTCAGCAGGAGAGGGGGGCCAGGAGTGCTGTTGGTGACCCGAGAAGTGAAGCATTGGGGCTGCCCTGTGCAAACCATTGCACAGAGCAAGTAAGTATGACATGTTTGTGATTTTTAAATGAGAACATCTGAAGCTTCAGTATCACTTTAATTTGCTTGGATAATTATTAGAGAGATTTTTTTCATACTCCTAAGCAGAACTAAACGTAGTCCTGTCCTTCGCCGCCATCTTCTACTGTGTGCCAGTTTTCAGCCATCCTTTTTGGCTGGCGCAGGATATCATCACTCCTGTGCATGCATAGGAGTCAGTCATCCTGGCACAGAGAGTCTGGGCTAGCAGTGTAAGCTGAGAAGACAGCAAGCAGACAGGTAGGTGTATCGTAGCCTAGGTTCATGTTCTTATATAGATCGGGAATGATTGCAGAATGGTGATTGTTCCTGACCCACAGGCAAAACGTGCTGCTCTTTAGCAGACATGCGGGGGTGTGCCATTATTCCTTACCATTTCCCGTGTTATCCAATGCTAGAAAACGTATTTTGGCTCTTGCTGTGAAAAAAAATGTGTGAAAAAATGCATTGACTTGTGTTTTTTAATGTGTTGCTATGCAAGTGCATTTAACGCGCATCAACACAAGGTAAGTGCAAGGCACTTGTTGTGAATTTAGCCTTCCACTTTAAGATGTTTTGCTGTGTGTGACAAGAATCCACCCTTTTCAGTACCTCCTATTATTAAACTTGCTGCCACTTACACACCCCTGTTTTATCTCCCCTTCTGCTGTCATCCTTTTGTACTTTGAACAGGGTTGGGAATAACAGGGAGTGCAGCTTGTCATTGCATTCTAACAAACTAAGTCAAATTATTGAGCTTGCTCTCTTTTTTACTCGGGATATTTAGCAGCAGTGCAATATGTTAAAAGGACAGTGACTTCTCTGAATTCTCTTTGTATATGCACAGAAATTTGACTTGTCTGAATCTTTCTTTCTAGGTAGAACATCTACCTTTTGGGGAGAGCAATGTATCCAAATATTCCAGGTATGTAACCGTTCATTCTTATTTTTGCAAATTTCATCTGAGTTTTAAAAGTTATTTGGAATAAAACTAGTTCATGATTAGAATCAAGTTTTGTCCCAGGATCAAACTTGATGTTTTTGGAAGTACTGACTCCTTGGAGTACTTTTGTCTCTTTAAATGGCTGGAAGCTACAAATGATGATAATTGTTACAGCCTATGAGAATAGAAGTATAGGAGCAGGGGCGGACTGACCATTTGGAAACTCGGACACTGCCCGAGGGCCCGGGGTCAGTAGGGGGCCCCATGAGTATGCCCCTGGTACCTTTTTTCTTAGGCTTTTTTGAGTTTGGGCAAGGACACAGAGGCCCCATGATGCCCTATTGCCCGGGGGCCCCATGAGTTGTCAGTCTGCCCCCGTATAGGAGGTAACACTGGAAAATGGAAAGTCTGAACTCCCAACTTCACATTTCTTGCAGGCCAGTGACCCACCAGGTAGTGAACCCAGAATCAGAATAAATACCCTTGCTCTTGCCCCTTTTTAAAACAATCTTCAGCTGCAGCTTCCATATTTCTATTTGCTCCAGTTCCGATTGATTCATGCACACTAGCATTTTTTATAAGCTCAAAAAATGCTAGAAAAAAATACTGGATAAAAAATGATAACAGTGTTTTTGTGCCTGATTTTGTAGTAGTGTTTTAGGAGCATTAGCATTTTATTTAAACTTTTTTATAGTACATGAAGAAAATAAAATGCCCAAAAAAGCTGTTGGGTGCGTTTTAGTAGTGTTTACGAGTGTTCACCTTTTTTTTGCCAGGAAAACGTCCCCAAAAACTCCACAAAACATTTGTTTTCTGCTTAAACGCTCCTAGCATAAAATAGTGTGCATGGACACGTAGGATAACAGTATTCGCTTATAGGAACAGAAAAAAAGTTCATAATAGCGTCTAAGCGTTAAAAAATCTAATGTGCATGGAGCCTAATAGAGTAGACTTGACTGCAGTTGAATATTTATATGTCTTGAAGTGGTATTACAGCAATGACCAACAACAGCCACAAGTTCATTTTAAAGCTGGCTCCTGCATCAGTATATTCTTCATTTCCCTGTACCCTCCACCCCTGTATGCTGATGGCAGCAAAGTGAAGCCTTGCATAATCTGCAATTCCATTCAGAGCCTACATGGGGCTGAACGCTTTCCTCGCCCCATTGTGACAGTGTTGGCCAAGCACCAGCATCTTCAAGAGGAAGGAAAGTGATTCTCTTATCCCCATACCCCAAAGTACTAGCAGCAGAATGAAAGAAATACAAGTATATACAGAAGGGGTGTCCGGCATTAAACTGAACCTCTTTCTAAAGGGAATGTATAGCCAAAGACTTTGTTTTGCATTGAGTAGGGATTAGAATTGGATTTAGTTTTTATAGCTACCTCTGCCCCCGCTAGGTAGAAAATCCCTTTTTGTCCTGATCGCCACTTTTACTGAGGGACTAATAAAACTAATAGGGATTTTAACCCTTCCCTACTCTTCGAAAACTATGGCTATACATACTGTATACAATGGTAAGTTTACTTTAAAGTGTTACTAAACCCACAACAGTAAAATCAGTCTTTTTCTGCAGTAAAGCATGCTTATGATACTCACTGTGGAACCTAAGGGGTTAATCCTCTGCATTGTGTAAAAATGCTGTTTGATCCTGACTTCTCTGATCCTCCCCTTCTTCCAATGTCCCCCTCTTATCT